TGCAGAAATGCCATTCAGACTTTGGCATGCCTTTCTCACACAACACTCCTCGAATGGATGCAGATATGAGATGATTCAGGGCTTACATCAGAATATCTTACCAAATAAATTTACATTGGCCTCCATTTCAGGCCAGCCCACGAGTCTGGTCTGGCATTCTTTTTTCTGCTGAGAATAGAGCTCCATTTTATTTTATACCAGTCCTGTCCACCTGAGGTAAGCAAGACTCACACAATCTGCTGAAACACTCCCTCATCCAAGTAAGCATTAAAATTAAACATTCGGCAACTTTGCAGTCATAAAAAATAGCATGCATATGACCGTACACTCATTTTCTCTCCCACCCTTAAAAATCTTAAAAATGGTTCTTATATCTGGCTGTCACTGTAAGTGTCAAAACAAGGAATTAGTAACTCCCACATGGATCCGTTAAAGTTGCGCACATCATTAATTCAGTCATGGCTGTTGGGTAACTCTAAACCCAGGAGATAACTGGGACAATTGAAGCAGAAAATCACCATCCAAACATGCATTTTCTGATCTTTTGGATTGGTTTTTAAAGAGTCTATATTATTATTGCAGTAGATACAGAATAAGACGATTAATAAAAGCAGAATAAAAGCAACCATTGGTTGCTTTTGTCATATCATACCCCAAAATTGTGTTTTGTGTGATTCTGCAGCACACAAATAGATGTCTTAAGGTCAGAGATGCCATGTCGGATTAGGATAAAAATTGCGTTCAGAAAAAAAAATTGTCTAAATGTTCATGGTTGTCATCAGTTAGGCTCCAATGTGATATTATATTGATATTTCCAAGTGATTTTTTTTTCTCAGTCAATTAATTTTGTGTGAATTTTAGTGATGATTTTTATCAAGTATGTGAACTTGACTGTAATGTTTAGTTTAATTCTTAGCAATGACCTTGAGATTGATGTTACCTAAATCCTCAATCCTGAGCTATAAAAAATGAAAACAAGGTCAGCATTCCAGTGTGCTTCAGTAGATGGGTACACTGATGTAAGGGGTCAGAGGTCGTCTAGTAAGCAAGGACATTTCTAGTTTCAGGCTGTAATCAAAAGCAGCCCTGTGTCCTGTGTGTATTAAAGAAAGATTTAGAGTTATTTTACCTTTCAGTTTGACGGCGCACAAAGTGAAAACAGTTGCAGGAAGGCACCACAGTAAAAGCTGCTTTCTTTCATAAGGCAATTCATTACAGAAGAGATAGTTGTGGCAAAACAATATTCTCATCAATATTACAGTACATCTTGCAGCTAGGGTTGCCAATTTCAGCTGAACAAAATAAGAATTTTAGTTTTTTTGTTTTTTTTTAGGAGAGTGAAATAAACTCTCCATTTCTTTATACCACGTATGCCATTTGAGATTTAAAGTAATACCTCACCCAAAAATGAAAATTCGGTCATCTTTTACTCACTGGTCCCTTTCTTGTTATTCTTTTTCAGACTGGATATCCATCTCTCTCACCCTCATGTTTGTTCCAAACCTGTATGCAATTTATTTCTCCAGGAACACAGACTACGGGTGGGTGGGTGGTGATGGCGTAGTCGATAAGACACATGCCTTTGGTGTGAGAGACCTGGTTTTGAATCCACTGCGAGACACCAATGTGTCCCTGAGCATGACACTTAACCCCTAGTTGCTCCAGAGGTGTGCGACCTCTGACATATATAGCAATTGTAAATCGCTTTGGATAAAAGCGTTAGCTGAATGAATAAATGTAATGTAAATGTAACACAATATTTCAAAGTCCAAAGTTGACCTCAGCACTATTTAAAATATTTTTTGTTCAGCAAAAGACAGAAATGCAGAGATTTGGAAAATGAGGGTGGTTAAATAATGATGACAAAATGTTAATTTTGGGTGAACTATGGCTTTAAGAAAACCACTGTGGGCAGATGGAAACGGTTTGATGGAATTGGGTGATAAAGACGCATGCAGTCACTTTTTGGATAACTACTTGTTGCATTTGTTTAAAAAATAGACTAATTTTATAGTGTCACACACCAGTTTAGCAAACCTAAATTATAACACCACAGAACTGTGAATGTGCAAATAAGATGAACAAACACACTTCAACTAAAGTGCTTTTAGACGTTTGAATGATAGTCACAAATACAGTGAAAAATGAATGTAAACTGATATGAAGAGGAAACCTTTTGAACAGGATGAAAATGTCAAAATGTGCCTTATTTTGTTTAAATGTATTTTATTTATTGATACTACCCTTCGGAAGAAACATAACATACTTTCATGTTTCCTAGTTTCCCGGAAGACAAATGAAGTACAATTTATCTTGATGATCTTAAAATTCAAAAGTTTTCACCCTCGGCCCTTAATGCATCGTGTTTCCTTGGAGCATCCATGAATGTTTGTACCTACTCCCTTAAGTGCCCCAGTGTGAAAAAAAAAAAAAAAATGGATCTCAAAATCATACAGCCACTGCTGGAAAGGGTTCAAATATGGAAAAAGATAATGGAAAACTGAAAAATTTGCAGGACCTAAATGATTTTTCTGGGGTAACGACGCTGTAGGAATCAAGGGTGTGTAAACTTTCGAGCAGGTTTTTTTTTTAAACGTATTTTATGTAAAACATCTTATTTAGGACAGTACTAAATAAAAAAGAGTTTGCATTTTGTATGATCCCTCTTATTTTTAGGATATTCTTATTTTGAGAACTTATGAGCATGGCAGATCTGGTCCATATTGCAACTTGTCACGGTCAAGAATCACAAGTTCAATCACAGTTCTTTTTGCTTCTATGTGCTGATTAGGGGTGGGAATCGGGATTATTTAAGATTGCTATTTAAGATTAATACCATGTTACACTTTTAGAAAAAAGGGTTCATTGGGGTTCTATACAGGGTTCTTTAATCAACTCCAAAGAACCCTTTATGCTAAAAAAGGTTCCATATAATGACAAGAAAGAACCCTTTTGGCACAAAGGTTCTTTATAGGCTATTTTTCATTCATATATTACATTATTCTGCAACATTTTGTAGTTGTAATTTAATTATTGTTTAATAAACTGTAGTAACTTAATATCACATTTTAATCATGCTGCTTTTTGGAGGAGAAAAACTGAAATGGCACTCTTCATGTGATATTGATTAACTAAATAAAATTATATAAATATATACATTTTCTAACCCCCATCTTGAATTTGTGATCATTCACATGCATTCATAAATACATTTTAGGACTAAACAAATGATAATGAATGAACCCAAAGGGTTCTATAGAACCTTTTTCCTGGTTACAAAGAACTCTAAAGGGTTCTTATAATTGAACCCTTAAAAGTAACATATTTTTGGTTACCATGCATTCACCCAAAGCATACATGAAACATACAGTGCATTACTCTATGACAATGTAGAAATGTGCTTGAGTGAAAAAGTTACAGTATGCATGATGGAGCCCACCATGTGAAAAGTGAAGTTGTTGTAACAGCAGAACAGAACCAGAGGGCAGGACACACTTTACAATTTATCTTAGTGAAACGACAAATGATCAGCCACAACACAGAATTTCCGTGGCTTCATTATGCAGTGGGTCCCCAGGCGTAATAATCATGATATCAAATGACAGCTTTTCTTCAGGCCGCCACTGAAGTTGTAAATAAAAATATGTTAATTTGGCTTGCGGTATTTAAGCGACCAAGTTGCAAATATCATTTGCTTGAGTTAATTTGTACAAGATCAGGGTATTTTGAGAAGAGAGATATGAGCTATGGGAATTAATGTTTGTGAATCAGCTAAGTAATGTATACCCATAGCATTAGTTTATCAGTTTATGAGAATGATGTTTTGCATAGATGTCAGCGAGTACCTATGGAAGAGGTAAAAATGATTAAGGTGAAGTGGTTTTAATGGAGTAAACTGTTTGCATAATACCAATATTTAGCCTATAGAATGAATTGATATAATTCAATAATACATTTAATTATTTTTCCTTGCTTTTCTCTGAGCACACTCACTGAGATTTTGTACATGCAATACCCCACACAATAACAAAGTAATCATAAAAAATGCTACTCTTGCACATTAATGAGGCAAAATCAAAACCCAATGGCAATACACGACTGCACTTCTCTACACACAACTCTACAACACAGCTCTCAATACTGCCCACTAGCTGTGGTGGAGGAGTCCAGGCTGAGTAGCCTACTAGCAAAACCGTTTCTCTGTGTTGATTTTATGTTTCACTGTGTGTTCAAGTTGGAGTGTGGGCTCACATTCCAAATACAAACTTTTCTATAGCAAATGAATTAGGATTTTTTTTTTTTAATCATATCAGAGGTTGGCATTTTTTCTGCTCAATGAAAAATTTCCATTTGGCAAGTCTATCACTAAATGTTTTTATAATATCACATAATTTATTTATTTTTTCAGCAAGGACTATAAGGAGTTGAGCGACTACTTTTAATAGTTGAAAACACTGCAGTATAATTTAAAGCATTTTAAACATGTATTTGACAATGTATATCCTCATGTTTTTCATTTTATCGCACTTTTGTAAGTCATAAATAGACATAGACTTTTTATTTTCTACTTATGTTTATATAAAAGAAATATAGAAATATAATAATTTTTTTCTTGCGTTTTTATAGTTAAGATGTTTTTATGTTTTAATAATTATACTTTTTATATTAACATGCTTTTTATTAATTCAAAGTCTCATCAAATGTATCCTTTTTTTTTTATTCAAGTAATTTCTAAATTCATAATATAGTGTGTAAAGGGGTGTTGTTTAGTCAGTTTAAAGCGTTAAGGCAGATTCCTGCTCCTGTTAAGAAAATATTTTATTTTTATTTTTTTATACGGTCAATTTTTTTTTTTTTTTTTGAGGAGGCACTGCCTGCTTGGCTTCTCGTGAGGAAACGCTGCTGTCTTTACAGAAATGTATCAAAAGGCAATAAGGATAGCGGGCGTTCGCAGGAAACTAAATATTGTGCCCATTTGTGTTTGAGAGAGTGTGGAGCGCGCGCGTGTGTTGGGAAAGTGGGTGTCGCTGTGCACGCTGCTGGAGGAGCTTCACAGCGATGTGTCGAGGACTTTAAACACACTGTGTCATACAGTGGTGGAAAGAGGGAGACCGCGCCGTACTGGATCGTATACTGCAATACTTCTGATGCAATGAGTCCGACCGTTCTCATTCTGATCCAATGTGTCTGACGATTCACTTTCCGCGCGCGATGCTCTGACTCTGACTGCCGTGTGTTTATATGGAGACACCCTAAAAAACAGGCAACCGGGAAATGGTAACACATGAACCTCCTCACTGGAAGGAACATGGTTGAGAGGAGCAGTAAATTTCTGTTCATCGTTGTCGGCTCAGTTCTGTTCATGCTGATTTTGTATCAGTACGTGGCCCCGGGGATGATGAACTTCGGCTCGCCGCACGGGTACATGCTGGAAGACGATGCGGATCTCTTCCCGACTCCTGATCCACATTACGTGAAGAAATACTATTTCCCCATCAGGGACCTGGAGCGGAGCTTGGATTTTGAAATCAAAGGAGATGATGTGATAGTGTTCCTCCACATCCAGAAGACCGGCGGCACCACGTTCGGGAGACACCTGGTCCAGAATGTCAGGCTGGAGGTTCCGTGCGACTGTAGACCGGGACAGAAGAAGTGTACCTGTTACCGACCCAATAGGAAAGAGACCTGGCTCTTCTCTCGGTTCTCTACCGGTTGGAGTTGTGGCTTACATGCGGACTGGACCGAACTGACCAACTGCGTTCCGGGGGTTTTGAACAAAAAGGAGAGCCGGATGAAAAACCAAAGGTGATGCGTGTAGAATTGTTTTTTTTTTTTTTGGGGGAGAAATAATGTCTGCCTCAATCCAGTGAGCAGTTTACCGATAATTTTGGGGTGGCTGCAGTCACAAAATACTGTCTCAATGGGGTTTGGGGGACAGCAGTGTGTAGAAAAACTTTAGTGAGTCAAGAATATGCCAATGCGCAATATAACCAAACATAATATCGACAAATGGGTACCCATATTTCACTTGTATGGGCTTTTCATACTGAGTTTTTGTTGAAACCGCAGGTAAGGCCAGTTTCAAGCCTGGGTAAAGAAACGTTTCACATTTGTAAAAAGGGTTGTCAAACCCTGCACTACTTGCCATGTTATAACTTAAACTGTTGTTCGGCAACAAACAAATAAACTGTCCTAGTACTTGCCTCATTATATTCACGAGCTGAGGCTACGTCGCGAAAACTTTAATGAGCTGTTGAGTTTAAACTTCTTAAGTTGTACGGTTAAAATATTTCAGAAAGTAGCCTATGATAGAAGACGTAAGACAAGTGGGTCTAGGTGACATTTCCACGGAGGGGCAAGTGTCTTTTAAAACAGGTCGCGTGCTGTATCCACCCCATCAAAACAGTGTTGTTAACATCTTAACCGAATAAGAAAGCCAACCCAAAGTTTATAAATGTACAGTATGATATCGGAAACCTGACTACTCGGGGTAAAGCATGAACAACACGAAACAAGATAACCTAGGATTAAGTTTACCTGGGGTTAACAATGACCAGGGTCAACGGTTTCAAGTGTGCAAAAAGCCCACAATGTTATTTAGTTGCAATTTCTGTTGTCTTATGAAACTGGATGACAGCCTTTCAAAAAATGAACATGGTAACCAATAACCACAGTATTTTACAATCTGATATACTGAAATTGATGAACACATTAGAAAATTTTTCTGTGATTTCATTTTTAGTTCTGTCTTGGCTTTTACTTGGATGGTTACCACAGCTTTACTGTATAATTACAGGATTAACAGTTTGTCTAAATGTTTGTGAAGTGAACATGGGTCCTCTCCTCTCCTAGGTGGAAGACAGGACTTGCTGTGTCAAATGTTTGTGTCAGTTTCAATTTCTGCATGTTTGCGTTTTCTCCAATGATGGAGGTGGAAAATTACTGTTGTAAAACAGCCCCTTGTAAACACTGTGTGTACTGGCTGCCAGGATAGTGGTTACAGAACTCCCCACATCAGGACACTCCATAGCAGTCATGTCAGGAATAACTGGCCATTTGTTGTCAGTCAGTGTCAACTTGTTGTATTCTGGATAAGAAGTGTCAATTTGACTTAATTATCTTTCTCCGCTTACATATGATGGTGACACAAAACCATTTAGATTCCGTTTCAGCCTGTTTATAAGGAGTTAGTTACTGTTTGTGGAGAATTCGTACGAATTTTACGAGGTGGCTAATTCGTAACAATTCGTACGACCTCACTCGTACGAATTAGTACGTTTTTGCTAAATCGTACATATTTTTTTGACCCCGCCCCTAAACCTACCCATCACGTGGGTTTGGACAAATCGTACGAATTCGTACGAGTGAGGTCGTATGAATTAGTACGAATTAGCCACTTTTTAATCACTCGTACGAATTCGTACGAATTGGTCGTGATATTATGTTTACTTTTGCAACAATGTGAAATCCATCTCAGAGCCATGCATGTAGACTGTTTTAGTTTTTAATAGGATTTTTGTGGATTAAATGATCTAAGCCCTGCAAAGTCAAATACATCAGATCAGATTTAGCAAGTAATCACCAGCCCGACTCCTCTACCTAAAAGAACACAGTCTAGATCCAACATACCCTCGAGTGTAAAACATCCCTCGTATCACAGCGATGCCATTAGTCTTGTTGCTTTTGGCGACCTTAGGAATGCAGCACTGATATGGATGCACATTCCTCTCCTTGATTAATCTCTCCTGTGATAAAGGCAGACAGACCACACCAATGCTGTTCTTCTCTAATTTATCACACGTGTACATGTTCGTTCTGTCTGTGAAATTAGCACAGGGTCAGTGGTAAAAGAGGTTAGAAGTTTTGTCGTTTCTCATTTTTAATATCTGCATTATTCTAATAATTAGATGGGAAATACTGTGCGTAGATAATTCGGATTTGATATGCTGCTTTGTTGCACAGTTCTAACTAAGCACTCTTTTTTGTACATTAGTTATACATTCAAAGGACCAATGCAGGGTGCATTGAAGCTGTGAAACTAGCTAAATTAAAAAAAAGTTATTTTTTTTTTTTTGTATTGGTAAAAATGCTCAGAATTTGATGATTTTGGGTGCTTTAGAAAAATATAAAATAGAAAGAAATAGAAAGTATTAACCTACTAAAATAAGGCAATTGAATCATGATGGTGGTCATATTGAAGGCTGAGAAAAGGGGGGAGTTTATGACCCATGAAATCTCTTGTGGAGATTGTGAACGGCTGAGGTTTGCTGTGCTGTTTGTCTTTCTATAGGGCTTCATGATGTGTTTTTAAACTTGTTTTTCAAAAAGAAATATATGCTCACTTATATGAGTAAAAACAAACAAACAAACCTTTTTTTTTTTTAGTTACCAGATTTCATAATTGCTCGATGCAGATGGTTGTAATCACAGTTGTCAATTCAACCTGTTGCAGTGGTTGAACATTTCACAGGGATGTGCATTAAAGGTGCAGTAAGCAATTTCTAAGAAACGCTGTTGAAGCTAAGCACAACAATAGCTTGTAGCCAATCAGAAGTTTGTTTGGATTGATTTCAATTTCGGTGTTTCTCCGAAAACGCTTACTGCACCTTCTTATTTCTTATTTTACATTTGTAATATTTCTGATTATTTTCAGAAATATGTCATTTTTATATGACTGATTTGTTAATAATGACAAGTCACTTGTTTGTGAATCACACTTTGTTGATTGGTTACATTTGCTATCCTTTTAATTGCAGCTTGACAATTAAAGTTTATTTGTCACATTTGTGAAATCCTTTTTATTCAAAAATTTTCTGAGATGTGGACTCACCCTTAAACTCTTCAGTCTTAACTGCTTATTGGCTCTAGATTAGGAGCCACAGCACAGGGTTTAACACCTGTTGTCAGACCAGTAAGTTACAGTTCACAGAAGCCAGCGCCATTCCCACCAACAGGCAGGAAGCCATCTGACAGCTGTGCCAATCTGCATGCTTTGCTTGTTAGACATGTTTAACAGGCTTGTTTACATTTAAATCTCTCGGTTTCTGAGACTTTGGAAGCGTTGCTTGCTCTCCTCTTCGTGACCATTATTTTTTTAATTACACGTAGGTCTTATATTCGGATTGTTGTTATTTCCAGTCACATTTTTCCAAATCGCATTCACGTCGTGCTGCTCCCCCGGGGACCTGGCAGACATGAGATGGGGGCATTTTAATTGCCTAACGAGATGTGTATCACCACGTTCTCATTGAAGCACCGGTTGCAGTTGGGAAGCCATCTGGCGAGTGGCGTGTGTTGCTCTCAGGCATGAAGCACAGGGGTTTCAGATTGACCAGTGAACGGAGACCAGAGGAGAGTGGCTTCTCGTGTGGGTGTGAGGTGTGAGAATGTTTCCCATAGTGATAGGCATGTGCAATCAGCCACCAGCAGTTATGTTTTTTTTTCCTCCCCGCTGGACTACCAGGCATTGCCCCTGCTGCTCTAGACAGTATGTAATCTGTTTAATGAAGGGTCTGCGTCTGCTCTTTGACCAATAGGCTTGGTAAGAACAGTAGAAAGGGGTCTGCTGAATATTTAACAGTTCACCCCAAAATAAAAATCTGCCATCATTGACTTCCCCTCATGTTGCTCAACTAATTCTGTCAGATAATGATAAGCTGATATTTATGTTATGGCTGATCATTGCTTTAAAAGTTCTGTAATATTTTGTCTAAAGGAATACAAAAATAAAACACACACACACACACACACAAAAAATAATCAGTTAAAAATTTTTCAAGTAAATTTAGGCATCATTACTTGAATTAAAATGATTAACATTTAGAAAAAAAATAAGTGTGAAAAAAGGCTACAACTACTAGAAATCCAGACATTTCTTATCATTTGGTTATTTTTAACGAATCCTTTTAGTTAAGCCAAGCTATACCATATTTTGAGTGGGGTGAGAGGTGGGTGCTTCAAATATTGTTGTAGACAATAGGAAGGCATTGAAACACAAAGGTTGAATCGAGATCCACTAATGTACAGTATGAAAATTCATTTTTAGATTTGCTAAAGATTACATTTAACAGTGTAATGAAGGGTGTGTTCACATTTGGCATGTTTGGTTCGATTCAAATGAACCCTGGGGTGATTGTTCTGTTAGTGCGGTTCATTTAAATAAGCATATCGAACTCTGGTGCGCACCAAACAAGTGGACCGTCCGAGACCGTGTCCAAACGAACAATGTTCGAATGAAATATGAACGCAACATGGACCAAAGACATCTGAACGAACCAATGATGGGATATGAAGGGAAGTGCAACGCTAAAAAGGACATAATGCTGAAGCATACCTGTTTTTTCTCGTCATAGTCGTGATGTTGCCCATCACAGTTCAGTACAGGCATCGGAACCGCGTCTCCTTGCAGCAGATCTTCGTTTGGGTGTGTGATGGAGTAATTCCTGCCGCTGCTTTGACTTCATTACACATTTTATAAGCTCTTCAGGAGTTCCCAGCGCGTCAAAATACCATCATATGTGCTATAAGTTATGCACAACCACCACATTTGTCCCAGCACTCAGCATTGTTTAGGATGTTCGGTAAGTTCCGTTGTGAAATATAGGTGCAATAAAAGTTGACCAATCAGGTTGTGAACATATCCTTGTGCCTTTAGGTTCAGTATCTTTAGGTTTGTTAAAATCCCAATGCAAATGCTAAGCCAAAATACTAGCCATACAATAGCTGCGAATTGTGAATTTACTTGTGAATTGTCTCTTTAAGTAATCTATTTGCCGTGATTTCCCGTTTCTAGTCCTAATAGATGAAGATAGTCTCAGTTGGGGGCAGCCTGGTTAGGAGACCTGGTGCAGTGATCAAGCAATTAACTTGTTTCTTAGACTATAGACATTTTATTGTGATTATTTTCGGGAAAAATGAAATTGCGCGTTTTATTGGCATGCAGTTGTGAGCTGCAAAGAGTCATTTGAAAATGATCATATTAGGCCTATATGAGCTTGCCTTCAGATCATGGAAAGAGAAAGATCTGTGTCCTCTGTAATTATTAAAACAGACAAAATAGCTATAAAAGCTAAAAAAGCTATGGCATAAATGAATTGGAAATTACTCAGATAGGAAAATTAAGTCATATTTTACTAATTTATTTACTTGTGTGTGTGTATATATATATATATATATATATTATTTATTTATTTTATTTATTTATTTATTTTCATTTATTTTATTTATAAGTATTAGTCTTATGGACTTAGGGACCAACCCAGATCTGAGCATCTGTAATGTATTCTTCTAGGAATATGCCCATGTGTGTTTTTGTGCATGTGTATAAGTGATGAGAGAGGATTCTGGGACGTGTGCACTTAGTGTCACTTTTTTTCCCCCATGTCCTGTCTATTTAAAGATATTGCAGCAGATTTTGAGTCCAAGTTCAATAAACTTGCACATAAAAATCCTGCGGTACTGTCAGTCTTTTCTTTTAATTTTGTATATATATCGACACTCATTTTTTCAGCTTCCTCTCTCTCTCTCTCTCCCTCTCTCTCTCTTTCTCCATATCTCTTCCTGTTCCTTCAGCGATGTCAGTGTCTAATCAAACAGGCAAGATAATTTTCCACACTGTGGCTTTATGGATATGGGCCGCACAGTTTACCCCAAGCGTGACTAGAACATTAGAGAGAATGTCTTTTCATGGAAGATTTACTGTAATTTATAAAATGGCTGGCCCTTCTAATGGACAACTGCATGCTGTATTATGAATAACAATATTTATTTTAATATATCAATATTTAATTTTTTAAACCTCAAGCCTTCAGACCTGCTCGCTGTAGATTATAGATGATGTCGATGATGTCACTATACTGTATGTGGGTGGGACATCATCACACTCACTGTCTGTGTGTACAGGTAATGATGCTATAGGCGAAGAACATGTTGCTATATATTCAAAATCTGTCTATAATTGGATTGTCTGATTAAAAGGTCTTCATGTAAACATCTCAGTCGATCCGACTGAGCTTGATCTAAATTCAGAACAAATGGTTGGTGTAGAACTGAAATGATCCGATCAACAGGAAAAAAAAAAATGACTACCGGTATGTAAACAATTTTCTTAATTGAATTCAAAAATACCTTTCACACGTGCTGTGCTGTGATGCTAGATAAGTTTTATGTCATACGAACATGCAGATGTTTATTTTCGTCTCATGTCTTACAGACTGATCGGTGGATGAGACTAAATATTTGCTTAAAAATGTCTTCTGAGATAAATGCCAGCTTTCTTTTTAGTTACTGTATGCTATCAAGGGAAAAACACCAATTATACTCGTGTGGCTTTCTCTGGTTCTGAATGTGGCAACTGTAACTGGATGCGTTTCCTTTGGCATATGTTAATCTGATTGCAACATTTAGGGTTCATATGAACAGAATGCATTGGATTCATTCCTAATGACAAAAAATAGTGAGTGCAAACATACCTTGTGAAGTTCAGTCGGCTCCATATTTCTTCAAGGTGGAGTTTGGAAGTTGTTTACTTTGGCACAGTAGATGATCGAGTGAAACAAATGTGTGAAGCCCAAAGCACCATTGGCGTAATGAAATTATCAGTAGCAAGCAGTGCTTGATATTTGATGATGTTCTTTACTACTGTCAGTTATTAAACACTGTGTCCTCCACATTTGGCCGTGGGGACTAAAGAGCCTCATTGTGACTCTTATAGATCTGGTCCTTTGCTTAAGAGTGTGTGAGTGTACTGTAGGTTTGCCGCTCCACAAATTATAGTCTGATGTGGTTAGCGATTGTGTGATGTTTGTGGTTTGGAGGTCAGTAGCTCGGAGCTTATAAAATCCTCCAGCTCTCCGCGTGAACCCGGATTCTGGCTCTGGGAGCTTGAACCAGATGGCTTGGCGGTCTCCAGATCTGCTGGAGCAGAAAGCAGAGGTTCTGACGGGCCAGTTTATCCCGGGCCGGTAAGAAAAAGAGCTTGGAGCCAGGCCTGATAGCAGTAGCCTGACCTCGATGTGTTAATCCCATCAGATCAGTGTGGATTAAATACAGGCTGCTCAAAGCCCGTTATGTGGTAATGTGGAATCTGTGCCCGCCCACCGCGAAATCACCCCGTGCTTTCGGACAAATTGATCTAAGAACATTTGATTTCTATGTTTGCCTCCTATCTACATTTTCAGTTCAAACTGTGATATGATTAATCTTTAAACTTGTATTCGCAATTAGATATTCTAAGCCTAAGGATGGGACACTTCATCCGACTATTGAATAGATGCTTAGCAAAGTTGACTGTTGTATCCCTTTTTTATTTAAAATATTTTTAGCTACAATTAGCATGCTGTGTTTGCGCACTGTAAAATCCTCTCAGAAAAGTTGGGCCTTTAAATTCATCCACGGTACGGTACTGTGGTATCAGCCATGCACATTCAGACTTTGGGACGTCATGCCTCAAAAAAAAAAAAAAAAAAAAAAAAAAAGTTGAGTGTAATCTTACATGTGTAAAAATGCCACTGGCCTTAAATTTTTGCTATTGTTCATGTTAACATTTATGTTTTATCTTGTTAATTCTGTAAATGTGACCACCCTACCATTTGCAGTATTAAAATAGCATTGCTTTGTGATACCATGCTGAGGTCAATCATAACAAAACATTAAAATAAATAAATATCTACAATATTTTATGTAATTTATATATATATATATATATATATATATTTTTTTTTTTCTAATTGTTTTTAAGATGCCTTGAGTTGAGATGCATTCTGTTTTGTCACCGGCTTTGTCTTTCTAATTTGCACAACTCATGTATAAATAGCCACTAAGGAACATGTCCAAGTGGCTTCTGGTGAGCTTGAAATCAGCCAAATTATATTGGGATTGCTCCATTTGACTAGTCAATCAGTCAACCTATTGACTGAATACATGTAACCAAATCCCTTGGATGTGCGCATATAGCCAAAAATACCTTTTCACTTCATTTCTATTATAGGATGAAAGCCAGTTTTCATATCACTGGCTCTGATACTGAAAGCTTCTTGTTTACCTCATTCTTTGCTGATTATCTTGGCCCATTTCTGCTTGTTGTCTGTGGAGGTTTGGTAATTGCTCGACAGCGTTCAATAGTGTTTCTGTTAGATAAGCTGTTTTTTTCTCCCTTTTTCAAAGAACGTCTTGCGCTAAGAGGTGCTATCACTCACATTTCAGAGAGAGTGTTTTTTTGTCATCTGACATCTCAACTGTGTGAAGACAAAGTGCTAACAGAGATTATAAGTGTGTGTGAACTGATCTAGGGCAGTTCAAGGCAAGGTCGTGACAGGCTGACAGTGTTTTAGGATCAGCATGCTAAATTAGCCAAGGACGCTGAGTTCTAGCACAAAACAAAGTGCTTACCTGGAGAAGCTTCCTCTCTCTTTTACTTTATGATCGTAGCTTACATGTGTAAAGATGATACTGGCCTTAAAGAAGTAGTTCACCTTTTAAAAAAAAAAAAAAAAACTTTTGCTGATAATTTACTCACCCCCTTGTCATCCAAGATGTCCAAGTCTTTCTTTCTTCAGTTGAAAAGAAATTAAGGTTTTTGATGAAAACATTCCAGTATTTTCTCCATATAATGGCCTTCATTGGGAACCAAACAGTTCAAGGTCCAAAAGAGAGTTTCAATGCAGCTTCAAAGGGCTTTAAACGATTCCAGACGATGAATGAGGGTTTTATCTAGGACCCTTCGAGTCATGACTCGAAAAAAAGATTTGTTCATTTTGTTGAACGAGTTTGAACAGGAGAGCCACAAATGCTCATCACAGAACAGAGCAAGGCGGGCATTTGTGCTTATAAAACTTAAACTTTTTTTATTTATTTTTGAAATGACTGATCATTTCACTAGATGAAACCCTTATTCATCGTCTGGTGTCGTTTAAAGCCCTTTACAGTTTTTCTCAATTGCTTTGGCACATTTTTCGAAACAGTCTTAACATTCTCTAAACTGTGAGTGCAAATGTCACAACTGTTTGCAGGAACTTCAAAACTTTATAGCATGTCTGCAAAATGTAGTTACTCACCCAAAACATTTAATTCATGCTTCAAAACCTAGTTATTTTGTCAATAATTTGGCCAAGGCCACCAAAATCTAAAGTATTTTTGTCATTGTGTGAGCCACACTGGTCAAAATGTTTAGTTATTTTTTCACCATAAGTCAACCATGAAAATTAAGGGTTTACTGTCTGTAAACAAATCTCATATTTGTTGAGAAAAGTCAATAGTATGTAGAAAAAAAATTCTATGAACATTTGTATTTTTACAGTGTTTATTTTTGTACTTCATGTGTATACACAATACAAGTGTATTTACTGTACATGTAAAGTAACTGACAAGAATAACAAGATTTCACATTACATCTCATATTTGTGTATTACCACAAATACACAAACAACAAATAACATTCATGGAAAAAAAAAGAAAAAGAAACAAATTATTCTTGGTGGACATCTTGTCGCTCACGTTGGTCAGGCCAAAGATTTTCATCAACATCACATCTGATGTTACCATTGCCACACAACGTGGAAAAAATCTCCTTGAATGACGCACCCATCCCCTGCAATGGTCAGATTTATGACATGATCCACAAGTGTGGCTCTGATTTCATCAGAGACTCTGACTCTTCTATTTCCACCTCTTCCTCGATTATTTCTTTCTCTACCACCACCACCACGTATTCTTACACGCCTTCCAATTGCTCTTCCATGAGCATGTTGCTGCAGTTCAGGGTTGTGAATGTCCTCCATTCTATATATACTCTATATACTCTAAATACTCTCTATATATATATATATATATATATATACTCTAAATATATACTCTCTCTCTCTCTCTCTCTCTCTCTCTCTATATATATATATATATATATATATATATATATATATTCCCAAAGTTGATTGGTTAAATGGTTAAATGGTTGATTCATATTAGAGGTAATTTATAATTAGATTGCGAATGCAATTAGAAGTCATGTGCCAATTTAGCAAACATTACAAACAATGTCAATGTCAGATATATTTTAGAATATACATTCATGTATACTAATTATGATAATTGAATAGATCGTTTTGAATGTGATGGCTTACACAATAAAAAATGTCTGAGAAGTTCTGAAGTGTTTGATAGTGTAAGTGAGAATCAAATCATCAGTTTTGATCAACAAGCCATATACAATTATTTGTTGTCCAAACTGCAGACAGTTGTATGTACTCTTTGCACACATGTGCCAAAGCATTTGCAATTTTCTCAAATCAATAAGAAATTCCAATCTGATGTGAACAAGAAGCGAATTGTTCAGAGATATGAACTTAATGTTTTGGGAAATAAAAAAAACATTTGAGAACTGAGCCAAAGCAATTGAGAAAAACTGTAAAGCTGCACTGTAACTCTCATTTGGACCTTGAACCGTTTGGTTCCCAATGAAGTCCATTAAATGGAGAAAATCCAGGAATGTTTTCATCAAAACCCTTAATTTCTTTTCGACCGAAGAAAGAAAGACGTGGATATCTTGGATGACATGGGGGTGAGTAAATGATCAGCAAAAGTTTTTTTTTTTTTTAAATAGTGAACTACTTTAAGTCATCTGGTGTTGTTCACATAAACATCTCTGTGTTTTACAATCTAGTATTAATATATAGTATATATATATATATATATATATATCTTGGTCACTCTTTATCATTGTATATACAGTATTCATATCTGATTATTTCCCCCTAATGTTTTTATTATTGTTTTACCTCACAGCCAGGTCAGTCTCCCAACTTTTCATGCATATTAATATGAATGAGACAAAGGAAGTTCCCAGGCTGCTGTCTGATAATATAGATCCCGTGGCCCGTGAAGAGAAACGTGCCCTTGAGCTGGACCTAATGTCTGCACTGCATGATTGAACGCTTCAGTGCCTCCTCTATCTCTAATGGCTTTTTAATAAACAAAGACTTGACCACCCTTCAGCCTGCCCTTTGTGTTTAGCATAAATGAATACATGAAGATGAACACAACTCCGCTGCTAATGCTAGAGTGAACATGGTTGCTCTGGTCTTTTTTTCTTTTCTTCTCGCTCCTGCTATCTTACGTCCTTGTTTACAAAACACTTGCTTAAAAATATTCTCTCTGGCCATCTCTGCTTTTCACTCATTACTTTTTTTTTTATTATTCTTGTGTGATTTGGAATCTTGTTCTAATTTTCTTCAGTTTCCAGTTTTAGCCAGTGTGGCTCCTGCCGAAACGTTGCTGGCGTTATGACGGACATTGGGTTTGAAGTCTTGTTGTGCGCCGCGCTGCCAGGTAAAGCCCTCGGCGATAGCACCAAATTGATTTTTGCATGCTGTGGACAAATTGCCACGCAATGACTAATTAGCAAACATTTTTATAATTCATAATTAGGGCCTCCACCACTCTCCCTGTGCGAATTGGCTCGCTGCCGAGTGTTAATTTGCAAACCCCCGAATTCTGCCTTGAGACTCTCAATTTCCCTCAACCAATAGCTGAAGCAGGTGCGTCTTCACTATTTCTTAAAGACTTCCTTCTTCAGGCCATCTAGGATATTGTTTATATCGTCTAGGATATTAGGATATTGTTCATTTCAAAACTCTGGACAATCCCAGGCTGCCTCAGAAGCCTGTTCATGAAGTGTCAAGACAGCGTGTGAAAAAAAAAATGCAATGGCCAAAAGTTTTACTGACGAAAACCGTTTATATGAACTAGGTAAACTATATGGATTCTAAATGTTCAACTGCAATTTCATAGGAGCACTGTATAACTGACTGGAAAACCCATAAAACAATTTAAACTTAGATTTATATTTTATGTTCATTTATGTATTTATTTGATAAGCAGCCATGTAATGAGTGTGATTATGAATTATAAACTGCTTTGGACTGAAACAAAAATCCTGATCACCCTGTTTGGGTTTATTATAATGACCGGATGACTGTACGTTATCTCTTGCGTAATAAATAATATATTTGTTTAAATGTTTTTAAAGCAGAGCTGGAGCAGAGCATCACACTTTCAAACTGTTGTAATAACTCACAATTACTTTCACTTAATTTCTCTTATACAAGTTAATTATCCACAGTACTATTGTATGTAATAACATATAATACTAAAAATAAGTAACTGTGCAAAACAACGGAACAGAAGTTTCTTACTAATGACTTTAGGCTCACGAGTTTTTCTCTTGTCTGTCTTATTTTATTCTGTAAAAGCACAGGTTAATGATTTTTAGTGCAGTGCTACCCACTTAACAAGCAGTCTTTAAAAGGGAATTTGCATAACCACACAACATTCATGTAACAAGCTGCTTCTTATGAACCAATGTTTTTAAAGACTTTTGTGCATCTTAGTGTCTTTGATCTTACTTGTGTTTTATAAATTGTGAGATTTAAATTTTTTTTACAAATTTTGCACATTTTATGGGGATTCATTCATTTTTACCCCCCCCCCCCCAAAAAAAAAGGGATAAAGCTTGAAGTCTTTTCTAAAATGTTTGAAACTCAAGAATTTGAGTTAAACATTGTGCATGCCTTTGTAAAGTTTGGAAAATGGATTGATCCATTTTCAAAGATATCTCCCGGGGATCTTCTGATGCTCTTTGATAATGGTAAAGAGAGGTCAAGTTGATCTATCATTTATGCATCTTGGTGGTGTATCGGATAAGTATCCATTGAACGTGCCAAACATCTTGGAGTTGTGGAAAGTTTTTTGATGGTGCAGTGGTGCAGACCTTTTGACATCAGGTTTTGTTTTAGTAGAGTGCAATGATGAGTATGAAATGTAATAAAAAAAATAGTGCGCAAAAAGTGTCTGAAGCCGGTTGCACACAGCGATTTTGGCCGTCATATTTCGCAAATCCTAAAAGATTCCTCTGATCCTGGGCTAAAATCTGAAGTCTTTGTTCGTTAGTTTGACATGTTCACCTTACGCCGATTAATGAACGTTGCAGTCAAATTTTACCTCAGCTGAAATGTTGGCTGTGTCAGCAGATTTGACTCACAGTCCTGCAGTTTGACTTCTCCTACGCCTACAGTATGCCTACAAATTGTCTTCGTTATTCAAGACAAGCCATGACCAAAATGAACGATAGAGATTTCTTGGTAGCCACCATTTCAATCCCGCGTGTAATGCAGATCACTGTCACCAAACGTGTCATTGATTGATGATGTAAAACTCCAGACAAGTTTTCTTGCATTGGTCAGTTTTTAACACGTCTTAATTGCCATACATTCTGACATTTTAACACAGTCTCATCCCAAGACGTCATATAACTGACGTGTTGGGACGTCTTTTGACCATACGTCAACATCCGCCGTTTTAGGGTACCCTTTAACGTCAGTTAGATGACGAGGTAGGTTTAGGTCGGGGTAGGGTTAGGATTCGATAACGTCATCTAACCGACGTTAAAGGGTACCCTAAAACGGCGGATGTTGACGTATGGTCAAAAGACGTCCCAAGACGTCAGTTATATGACGTCTTGGGATGAGACTCCGCTGGACATTTATGACAACTGAGATCTCACAGTGTGACTTGGCTTACAGTTATGATCACGTTCGTACAGTCTGACAAGTAACAATCGTAAAGGACTACCATAAATCGCACAGTGTGCACCCAACTTTAGGCGTTGTTCGAATTCTTTTAAAACTATGTTTGAGTTATTTGAGACTATTAAGGTCAGATGTCTAATTGAACTAACTGATTTGGATGGGATTGGGATCTTTGTAGAAATTGCCAAGTTGCAGCATCTATTGTCAAGATATGGGTGTCCTAGTAAATGATGTGTTTTGGATGCTACAGTATGATATATAGGGTAAATAATTAAATTACAATATTAACTATATAATTAAGAGAAGGCATTAACTAAGGATGTTTTTACATTCCCGTTTTGAGAAGTTCATCATCAGACTGTCCTAATTGATTTAATTTTTTAGATAGGATGCCGTGCGTGCTGTTGTTTTCCCTAGAAAATCGGTTGTAAGGAAGGTGTACACGAGAGCGTTTGCTTTACTTATGCCATTCAACGAAGGTCAAATTAAATTAGAAGAGTTAACCGGAAAAACAATAGACAGTTTGCTTCATAATTTCAACATGACATGCTAAATCCCCATGCTTGTCTCGTGCGAGTAGGGCTTAAGACGCCCTTTCCCCCGTGTCCTGTACCGCCCCACTCTAGAGAGCACTGAACTGGCGAGGAAAGTTTATTTGTGGTGGCCGTATTATGGCACATGATGTTCTTGTATTATGCGTTTTTCTGCTGATACGGCCATGCTGTCGACAACTCCAGTGAGCTGGCAGCTCAGTGCGGCGTTATCTACTAAAGTAAGAGCGAGAGAGAGGGAGCACAGGCTTGATTTATTGCCTCTGCAGAGGAGAGAGCGAGAGAGGAGGGGTGAAGAGTGAGAAAGAGAAGCGAGATTCTTCCTTTGAGTCTCTGGAGTTGAGTGAGACAGGTTGGAGTTTGAGCCGAGTGAAAGCGGAATCCAAATGAATGAAGAGGTGCTGATTTTTTTTTTCCCTCCCTCATCTACAGGAGACTTTTCCCAAACTTCTCTGCTTCTCCACATCCTCCTATTCTTGTGTGTCCCTCTCCTGGGAACCTGTTATAGACCTCATCTGACCGCTGCTCAACAAAAGCCTCTCTGGAATTACCCAGCATGCTTCACGGTCTGCAGAGAGCTCTGCCTTGATGCTTTTCTGGTGGTGGAGGGAGAACCCTGCTGTGTTATTAAGCCCTGTTTGAGTCCAAACTCAGCCTTGAGAATTCCAAGATAGCAGCTTTTCCCACTTTGTTCCTGTATGTTTGTTTGCAAAGAGAAATTGCATAACGCCTCATAAATTTGTACAATCGGTTACACATTAGCAATGTCTGACTGGGATAGTCTAAGCAAATAAACCTCAGTAAATCATTCAGCGAGTATAACAGACAATTCCAGCATCACTCTTACAGAAACATTATGTGGTGTTTATTTCGGTCAGTTTATTTCATGGTTTGCTTTGAAAACGTTTTTGTTTCTATTAAAAAAAAAAAAAAAAAACAAGTTTTCTATTTACAATAGAAAATAATTTCAACCCATATGTCAATTTAATACAGTTAAACATTGTTTAAAGTTTGCACTTACATAGGAAGTTTACTGACCAAGATATTCAAGTGTTTTAAACTATAAATTGTCAATTTCTTTGTCCAAAACTTTATTATTTGAATTTTAAAATTATATTATATTCAAATCAAATTATTAGAGACTTTACTGTCATATAGAAGTACCATTGTATTATCCACCAGACTCCAACAATTATCTCTTTCTCTGACAGGTTTTTTCTTTTTTTGTTTGTTTGTTTGTTGTTGTTGTTTTTTTTTATAAAGCTGCCAGCATTTT